AGCAGTTAAGGAAGGCATTTGTTGTGGGCTGGGGAAACACACACATGCAGCACACACACAGACAAAAAGACCATCTGTGAGGCAAAGGGGGGACCCAGGAACTTTAGGGTTGCTGACTGGCCCGCAACTGTTGTGTGACATGTCCTCATCAGGCCTCGAACCTGTTGAGCCAGTCCATCAGCAGGCTTTTGTCCCAAGTCAGGAGGGTGAGGAAGAAGCCAGCCATCTTGGAAATTTGCCCCTTTTATTACCTAGCCATGGCCCTTCTCCCCGTCTGTCTGCCCATCGGGGAGCCTGTTTAATTTTTGACCTCTTGAACTAAAATAATAAAGCAAGTCCTGGAAGCTCACTGGATCTTGGCCTCTTTATCTGTCAAATAGGGTTAATTTACAACTGCGTGAGAGTCTTGTGTGAGTAACGTGAGGTTGTATGTGATGGCTGACATGTGTGAGGGAGCCTGAAAGAAGCCCAGAGTTCTGCCTGTCTGTGCCACTTCAGGTGAGGTGGATGTCGGAGACGTGTTGACAGAGACTCTCCACCACGCTGTGCATGGGGGGGCCACATTCAGGGCTGGGGAGACGGCTCAGGGGTCAAGAGGGCCCCTGCTCTTGCAGAGGGCCCGAGTTCAGTTCTCTGCACCCACGTCATTTGACTCACAACTGCCTGTAACTCCAGCTCCAGGGGATCCAGCACCTTCTTCTGGCCTCCAAGGATACCAGCACACATGTGACTCACACACAAAAACAAAACTAAAAATGACTCTTTCTAAAATTCCTTAAAAAAAAAATCAGTTGCTTAGAGGGATTGGATGCCATTTAAATCAGGAGTTCCATGTGTGTGGAGGTAATCCCATAATGTTGCCAAAGTTAAACACAAAGACTTTGTAGGTACCAGGACTTGGCCCAGTAGGTAACCTCTGAGCCTCAGTGCAGCCATCTGAAAACAGAGAATAAAGTATGTACTCAGCTTTTTACGAAGATTCATTGAGATGATTTTGTGCATGGTTGTCAATGGGTGAACGTTAGTACCTTGTCTTCATTGTTTTGTTATCTCTTTAAGAAATATTTCTTAAAGATTTATTTTCTTTTAGGTGTGTGTATGTGTGTGTGTGTGTGTATGTGTGTGTGTGTGTGTGTGTGTGTGTGTGTGTGTGCAGTGTGTACGCGCGCACACACAGGTGACTTCAGAGGGAGGCCAGAGACATCAAATCCCCTAGATCTGACATTATAGGTGGTCGTGAGCCATGCGGCACCAGTGCTGGGAACTGAGCTTGGATTCTCTGCAAGAGCAGTGCATGCTCTTAGCTGCTACCACATCTCCAGACACCCTTGCTTTCTTTTAAGACAGGATGCTCTACGTAGTTCAGACAGGCCTCAAACTTGAGTGTATGGATTATAGGTCTGTACCACGATACTCAGCAATTTACTGGGAGCTAGCAGCGTGGGCATTAGGGACTCTGGGCCCATCCTGAGCACCTTAGCTCTTGGGCCCCAGGCCTTCCCATCTTGTTGCTCTGAGCCTAGTTGAGTGTGTATATCAGACTCTGATGATGGCCTGCAGGGGCCAGAGCAGAGTGTTCATGACAATTCTGTTTTAATACATGTAATCTGGAATACTGTTCAGTTTAAACAGTCACAGTCGAGACTAATACTACAACATTGGATGGTTGAGACAAATGATAACATTACTTCCATTTCCGTTTCTGAAAGGCAAGAAAGATATTCCATATTGTTTAGCTTTGTGTTACTATAACAAAATACCAGAGAGAATCAGTTAAAAGGGAGAGAGGCCATTCTGGCTCATGGTCTGATTAAAGGCATGTGCCATCATCTCCTGGCTAGGCCCCACCTCTTTAAAGATTCGCCCACCCCCTCCCAATAGCAATACAGGTTGGAGACCAAGCCTTCAACACATGGGCCCTTGGAGAACACGTACATGAGCGATGGCGTATTCTATCACATGGCTGCTGTTCCTCAAATTTTTGCCGGAGGTGACAAAATGGGCATGATTCCTATTTCATTTATCTGAGTTTTTCTTTAAGACTTGCTGAGTTATATGGGCCTTTTCAGCTGACCAGAACTTCCTCAGGACCATGCAGTAAACTTGAGGCAAGTAGAGAGCAGCCACAGGCCACTTTTCAGTAGCGACCGTTGGGGTCGTCAACAGAACCTCCTCCTTGATTATTTCTGGACAACTCCAGGAAGGAGACGATATTCTGTCACTTGCTTTCTCTGCCACACAGCGCGTTGGCAGCTGGGAGAGCTCTGCCTCCGTGCCCTGCACACTCCAGGATGATGGACAAGCTGTCATTTGGAAGCTGCTGTTATTTTTGAAGGATAAGGGAGACAAGGGAGAAGATGGGCCAGAGAACAACTGGGGCTTGTGCAATGGAGAACGTTTCTGAGGGAAAATATTGACTCCATTCTAGATAGCCTATCTTTTCACCAGCTATCAGAATCATGTGGAAACAGCCATACGTTTGCTTTGAGACATATTTTACTACATTGCTCAGGCAGAATCCATTTTATAGCTACGGGGGTGAATTCCAGGACCCTGCCTGTGCTAGGCAAGTGCTATACTGTGGAGCTACATTCTCAGTGCTAAGTCTATAGGTCTGTGTGACCAGGCCCAGCTTCCAGAATAGCTCCATTTCAGGCTTCCATCTTGTAAAAACTACTCTTCCCCATAGGTCAGAGGCATTTTCCTATCACCGACCCCCCGACTTGCCTTATCCAGAGAACGGCTTTGGTGAGAAGGTGGGACTTCAGTGAAACACTGAGTTCTTACAGAGCCCTTTGTCATCTGTCTGATGACACGCTTGAAGTGTGCTTGGCCACGACTGCAGCGTGTCGTTTACTCTCTTGTTCCCTCTTCTCAGACAACTGCAAGGCGTGTTGAGGTTGCCACTCAGTGGTGCGTGGCTAGCATCCACAAGGCCCTGGATTTAATACCCAGCACTGAGGAAAGCAAAGAGAAGAACGGGACCACTTCTAAAGAATTGATACGTCCTGCAGAAAAATGTCTTTTCTTCTTCAGTCCAGGGACGTTACAACACAACTCTATGACTCAGTAGGTAACATTACTGGCTATGCAAGCCTGAAGGCCTGAGTCCACTCCCTGTTTGTTACAGTGAGAGGAGACAACCCAGCTCTACATGGGGGCTGTGGCACACACAGACACACACAGACACAGATACAGACAGACACATAGAGAGACAGACACAGACAGACAGACACACACACACAGTGACACACACACAGAGACACAGACACAGAGACACAGACACAGACAGACAGACAGACAGACACACACACACACACACACACACACACACACACACACACACACACAATCACACACACAGAAACCAGACTAACCCCAGACTTTCTCCGAGGCCTTGATGAAGAGGATAAAGGGAACTTTAGTTCTGTGTCCTTGTTCAGAAGTGGCTTGGCAGTGCCAGAGCCCCGAAGGAGTCAAGGTCGTGGCTTCTGGGGCCTACCTCTCCCCTGGGCTGTGGTTATCAATTCTAAAGCACCTGTGTCGATGTTATCTTCGCTGACACTGTTGGACTTAGCTCTCTGCTGACCTTGGCCATTATTCTCCCCTGAAAATAGTTTATATGATGCTATACTTCTTAATAAACTTCCTTAGCATAAGTCACCAGTTTATGCAAGACCTCCCAGGCCCAGCTATTGCTTTTGTCTTCTTTATTTCTCATGCCTGGTCCTCCACTCAATACCTCATTGTTGGAGACCCTTATTTCTACTGGTTCAGGTCATCTACATACAATAATATATATTTAAAATTTTTAAAAAACTATTTAGTTTTGTAGGTTTTTGTTGTTTCACAGCAATATTTTCATGGAAGGATCATGTAGAAATTTTGTCTCTGCAGAAGGATTATAAATGTTCTGTTATGTGAAGCTGCATCATTTTACATCTTCCGAGAGGCAGAAGCTACATGCACCCAGGATTAAGCAGATGCAAGGGAATTCTGGTGGGTGGGGAACAGGGACATGACAAGACTGCCATCTTCATAGACACCAGGGAGCCTGAGTACCCTGTTGGTACTATGTCAAGAGCATCTTCAAGCCACCTGAGAAGTACTGGATGTACAGGGCCGACCTCCTGGGCAAACATAAGCTTCATCATCTACACAGCTATGCACAGCACCGGCCCACAGAGGCCCGGCCTCAGAGGCAGATGATGTCTGTCAGACCCTTTGCATTGAGCTCTGCTACACCTAGATGTGGTTAAAACCTCAGGACCCTAGAACAGCACCAACCACTGAACGAGGACCAGAGGCCTAATGTTCCCAAGGAAAGAGAGCTGCGTGTCAAAAATAACTAGAGAAATGGAGCAAACGCTAGCCTAGGGCTTCAAGGTGCGGTAAGCTTTTATTTGTTTTCAATTGTTTGTTAGGAGCTGGAGTTGAGGACTTGGGGGAGATCAGTGTGGGGTGGGGGGTGTCCCAGGATTTGTGCAAAAGGAAGATAGTAACTTAGTAGGCAGCCCAAGAGAGTCAATCTGGAGTCAGTGTGTGTGTGTGTGTGTGTGTGTGTGTGTGTGTGTGTGTTTGTGCTTGAATCCTGGATCTTCAATTCGCTGGGTGAATTAAGTCAGCTCAGGGTTAAATTAACATAGAAAGTCTCAATGGGATTAAGGAATGCTCCCTTCACACGGATACAAGGGATGAGAGAGATCTTAGGAAGATTTTGGGGAGGGTGTTGGGGCCAATAAAGAGGCCAAAGAGCTGGTAAAGAAGCAGAGCGGGTAGAGTGACTGAGGCTCCCAGGCTGGAAGGCTCACTGAGGGGCGGGGTGAGCTGGTGTGCGTGTGTGTGTGTGTGTGTGTGTGTGTGTGTGTGTGTGTGTGTCTGTGTGTGTGTGTGCGTGTGTGTTGTAGGGCAGGTTCAGAAAGGAACTGAGATGGATCCGTGCCAGCAGCCAGCAAGCCTTGCCTACTTCCGTGGTTTTCTGTTCCAGGGCAAAGGTTGTTACTCAGCCTTGAATCCTGCCTTTTTTTCCTTCTCACCTCTGTTGGTTCATTTCTGTTGACTCTGTAAGGGAGCTGGATCAGTCCCTCAGGGTCCTAAAGTGTCGACGCTCTTCAGCTGGCTTTCTGCAGTTCTGTGAAACAAACCAGAGATGGCGGGCGAGTCAGTCCTCCTGGCCGCAGTCTCCCTTCTCTCTGCCTGTCAGCAAAGTAAGAACACGGGAAGTGTGTGTGTGTGTGTGTGTGTGTGTGTGTGCATGAGAGGCAGAGGGAGAGAGACAGAGAGAGACAGAGAGAGACAGAGAGAGAGAGAGAGAGAGAGAGAGAGAGAGAGAGAGAAAGGAAGAAAGAAAGAAGAAGAGAAAGAAAGAAAGAGAAAGAAAGAAAGAGACTGCTCCAGTGTTTGGGTTTCATGCCTTCGTTTGGTCAGTAGGCCTGGGTGCCCAGCAGAGCATAGACTGCTTAGGGTGGCCTGCGCCCTCCTTCCCTGGGGTGGGTAGAATTTGGGCATGTTCTCACAGGGATGTGACAGGCCGCAGAGCCCAGTGCCTCTGCATCATCTGTGGTGACAGTTCCCATCCCAGTGCAGAGGAGCATTAGGAGTGTCAGGCGGGGACATGAGCACATGAGAGCGGTGGCGGCAAATATCCATTAGGAATGTTCACCAGGAAACTGTTCCTGTTTCTAAACTTGGTCGTAAACATTTCGTATGTTTTCTTAGAGAAACTGCCATGGCAGATATGGTCACCAAGGTAAAGTTCTACAGGAACGTGCAGTTTAGATCAAGTAATGAATTCTAAACATCACGACAGCTCCCTGCCAGGATGACTCCGCACCCCTCTGCTTGGCTGAATGGAGGCTCTGTCTCCCCAGGAGCCACAGTTACTCATCTCGTGGTATCTGGCCTACACGCTTAGCGCTTAGCGAACAGTTTCTTACCAAGAATGCCTGTTCAGTCTTCCTGGGGCGCGTGTATCCGGAACCAGGTCTGAGGGCTGGGGACAGGGCGGGCCACACACCGCAGGAAGCGAAAGACTGCTCTGCCTAGTGACCAAGTCCAGGTCTTGACATTTACTCAGGGGCTAGCCTAGCCGGCTTGCTTTGGGGATGAGGGACAACCTTAAACCTTCAGACACGTTTTGTTTACCAGCTTTTGTGGAACAGAGCAGGTATTTGCTACCACCCACAGAAGAACTTGGGTCCAAGCGATCAGTGTGCTCTGATCCTGTCATTGCAGAGCAGGCAGGGGCCAGGGCTGCATGCCCCAACCACAGAGGCTCTCTCCCCACAGAGAGCCTTTTGTGTGCTTGCTAATGCTGAGGATGCTGTGAACTGGGACCAGAAGTTAGGCGGTTCAAAGGTGAGGGGGGGAGGAGACAGGAAGAGAAGAGAGTGGAAGAATGTCTGTGATAGAAAAATATTTAATTGTTGGGAGTGGAGCGCAGAGAGAGACAGAGACAGAGAGACAGAGAGATCCTGCCTAGCTGGCCACTTCAACAGAACAACAGTGTTGTTCACAGAATCAGGACACCTTGTGTCAAGGTACTATCAGTTCAGGCAAACCCACCCATACCTGTCTGGTCCAGCCCCCAAGCAGGGTATTCTGCTCTTCCACGTCCTCAGCACAGGAAGTTAAACAGGGTTCTGAGTAGGAAGTGCCTCCATGGTGACTGGCCCAGAATAGGTCCTGGACACTGTTCCTGTCCTGAACCTCTTGCGTGCAGAGAGAAGCTGTGGAGTGGAGAAGCGGCTTCCCCAGGGAAGGATCCATCTGTGACCCAGTGGTCATCAGCAGTGGGGGGAGGGTCCTCCTTCACCGTCCCTAGCACACAAGCATCCCCCCACCCCACCCCAGGAAAGAGGAAAGATGGGCAAAACAAAGGTGATCGTGCCCACATGTGTGAGAAGAGAAATTCAGTCTTTCCACAGAATGGGTGAAATGACTTGTCTACCGTCATTGTGTGCCATCGACAGCCATGATCTTCCTGAGGCCCCTGGGCCCAGAGTATAGATTGGGGCTTTTACCCCGGAGGCTGACACCCATCCCAGATATCCCTTCCCATTGTGGGTCGTCACATACCCTTCCCATTTACTGAGCAAAGTCCTCACATTGGCTGGTGTGGCAGACAGGTGCCTACTGGCTGCAGGTCACAGTGTTGAGAGAAATGAACTGCGTTAGGGTTAGGGTTGGGGTTGGGGTTGGGGTTAGGGTTGGGGTTGGGGTTAGGGTTAGGGTTAGGGTTGGGGTTGGGGTTAGGGTTAGGGAGTGTTCGCTCATTCACAAGCCCTTTCTAAGGCCTCTGTTCTTGCGTCACTCCTCTTTGGTCAGTCCAGGAGCACACAGCCTTCATTGTTTTCAGTCCCTAGGTGTTTCCTTCAGGGCTGTGAAACAAATCAGAAGCCATGGTAACAGCACAGGGGTGGGACTTCGGGCAGTGGTGGCCAGAAAGTCGTGGCCATTTCCAGTTTCTTCTTAATAGACAGCTTCCCCTCTTTTTGGGTTCCAGTTGGGCTCATGAGTTACTTGCTTGTCCATAATTACACTGCCCAGAAAGTTTGGAAGGAATCAGAGCCCACTCCTCACTTTCCGGATTGTTTCAGTCCTCAGCTAGCACACACTCAGGGTGTCTGTTTTCATAGTTTAACCCCTAAGCCACAGCTAACTGGGTGTCAAAGGGAAGGACAGGAGCCCACCAAGGGAGCCCTTCCTAAGCTAGGCTCAGCCCTGACTTCTTGTCCAAGGGAAGCGTGCTCTGAGTCAGGAGGAAAAGCGCCACTCACTCTTCCGTGGAGACAGAAGCCACCAACTCGGTGTGAGATTTTCAAGACGTCAGTAAGTCAGAAGTGGATGTTGAGATATTAAAGTGAGACCAAGTCGTGTTTGAGGCAGCAATTAAGGACACGAAACTGGGGGAGATAATGGGAAAGGAAATGACAGATGCCAGGGGGTAATTATGAAGTAAGGAGGAGATGAGGGATCTGGGAGAGAGTTCAGGCGGTAAAGAACTAGCTTTGCAAACACACGGACTTGAGTGTGATTCCCCAGGACGCATGTAAAAACAAAACAAAACGAGCTAGGCACGGGGGTGCAGGCTTGTCTTCCCAGGCTTGCCTTCCCAGTGCTAAGGAGGCAGAGACAGCCAGGTCCCGGGGCTCACTGGCCAGTCTGTTTCATTGGATGATCTCTAGCAGGTCATCATGGTACCCAGCTGTACTCACGCTTTGCTGATGACCAGTGATGGGCCACACTTTAACACAACATCCCTTCTCCTTACAGTGTATTTCACTTTGAATGTTGGACGCGCAAGATTAAAATACAAGATTGCACCCCCAGCAGTCACAGGGTCCCTGGAGTTTGAGAGAATATTTCGTGCTCAGTAAGTAATGCTTCTCACACAGGCAGGTATTGCTTTTAACTAAGTTGCTCTTTACCAATAAAGACTCAGGAGTCAGATGTTGGGGTGAAAACCTGCTAGCTCAGAGAGGCCAGGAAGCAACCAGCTGACCTTCCTTTTTGGCCAGAGACCCATCTCTCTACTCATCTCAAACCACAAAAGGCCCATGAATCTTTACGACCCTCCCGCTCCTTCCTGTGCCTCCCTCTATCCGCCTTCCTGGCTCCTCCGTAATCTTTATGGCTAATTCCTGACAACTAGTTGCTGGCTCCGCACCCTGATCCAAGGTTGATTTTATTAACACAGTTTTGGGAGTTCACAGTGCAATCAAATATCCAGAAACAGGCAGACCAGCCACAGACAGACAGATTCTGATTAGGGGAATGAATAATAGAGAAGGCCCTAAATTCATCTTCGGTTAGCAGCCATGACAAGTCACTGTGCACCAGTCTCGGGTTCCACTATCACGAAACATCCAGTGTATGTTATCTACCCAACTTTAGTACAGTTCTAGTAGGGTTGGTCTGTTTGCCCAAAAGGCTACAACTTGGGAAGAGTGGCGGTGTCTCTCAAGCATGGTGGCTTGATCAAAGAGACCTCTCCAGCACCATGAGGGGTCAGTAGATTCAAGTGGAAATAACTATTTTATAATTTCTTTTCCTCTTCTGCCAATTTCTCCAAGAACCATTTCCTAAAATCCGAAGCATGTAAGAATGAGCTGTCCTGAGTTACATGAGTTCTCAGTGGTTTTGATCATCCTGTGCTGCCTGCCTTTCCAGACACACACAGAACCTTCTGCCATCAACACTGTGCACTTTCCTGTAGAAGTTAGGATAACCTTTGTATTTCACCCCGAAGCCTAGTGCTTTGGAAACCTTTATTGCCTTTAGCAATACTTGCTCACTGCTGGGTTCTTTCATTAGTACTTAGGATTTCTCTTATGTCCATGACTAAGGTTCATCTATATTTTCTTGTATAGTTCTTGTCTCATTTTGGCTATTAAAAAATTGCACCTTGAATTCAGTTTGGTGAGGCAAGACCCTTGGGCTGACAACATGGTCTCTTGGTCAGACTCTTGATTTCATAGACTGAGCTCTCCCTTGGCTTCAAAGTGTACTGGGAAAGCCCACAAGACAGTTTCAAGTAACATCAAACCATACAAGGAGAAGTCATTCCCGTCCTAGCTGTCTTTAAATACTTTTGGTACGTCAAGTAGCAAGTGTTGGTTTGGTGCCAGTGTGTTTTACACCTAAAAGTAAATGTTTGCTTTATCAGCCTGTGCACAGCCTGAAAACAGAGCGGCATGATGAGCCTCATTACAAGTCGCTGTCCCTTGTGCGCGCCAACACTGTGATCTCACTGCTGTTTACTGGTCCACAGTTTCAGGCCTTGCTAGGACCACAGTTTAGGTCCTTTTATGAAAGAATGTCACATTATTCTCTCTTCTTAGTCCTGTCATTTTGTTGCGTTAAACCTGGAGCCGGTGTTGGTACCACTGTGATAAAGTAAACGATGTTGGCAGTGGAGCTGCATACTATTCTGTGATCACATTTCCTTCTTGTGCAGGTCTTATTTTTCTTAGGACCAATAATTGCTTCTTTGCTGCCTTGGTTTCATTCTTAACTCTTCTATAGAGTTGAGTTTCCCCTCTGAGCACTTTCAGATGCACTGGCTCTCTGCTAACATTCTTTTCCCGCTTTGAGTCAGTCTGCCTGAATCCTCCCCCTGTTCCGCTACAGTATAGAGGATGCTCTTTAGAGCTACCACATGGCTGTTATCCCGGGTCTTCCCATCACCCTCCTAGGATTTGCTTTATACTCTCTGGATTTGGATCACCTGCTACCTGGATTCCAATTATTTTTGTCTCTTATTTTAGTGGAGCATGTTTGTTAGCTTTCTGTTACAGTGATCAGTACATGAGATCAACAATTTACAGAGAAGAAAGATTGAGTTTGGTTCAGTTTTAGATGTCCTGCTCTGTTGGCTCCATTGCTTTGGACATGGGTGGTACATGCATCCTGGTGGAAGCATGTGGTGGGACAAACCCTGCTCACCTTATGGGAAGATGCAAAAAAGAAAGAGTCTAGGCCCCACCATCCCCTTCAAGGGTATACCACCAATGACCCACACCCTCCTACCACGTCTAGTTCCTGAAGATTACACCACCAACTCTGTAACACATGGGCCTGCGGGGGAACTTCAGATTCATGCTAACACACCATGTCTAGAAGCTTACTGAGAGGATCTCAGGTCTGCAGAATTTTGAGGCTTGTCCTGTTTGGATACAGCCTACCCCCAGCCTCACGTCACTGAGGGCCTGGGTAGGTACATATATCCATATTAAAAACCTTACACCTTCAGAATTGTGAGACAATTGCTTCATCACTTTGTCATATCTTTGGATATTGTTGACACTTCTCTTCCAGGCCTTGCCACGTGGTGTGGGGACAGTTGAGAGGCTCTGGGCTTCTCTGTGCCCCACAGACCTCTTCTGCATTACATCATGCTGAACCCCAGAGAAGGCCTCGTTATGGTCCAGAAACTCATGTCCTTCTGTCCCAGAGAGTAAAAAAAAAACACCCCCCCAATTTCTTTTTCGTGTTTTCTTTCTTTTCTCAAACATGCTAGTTGTTCTTGAGTTGATTCTTTAGCTTTCTTTTATCTTAAGTTCTCCTATTTGGGGGCTCTCGTTCATTCTGGAGAATTCCCCAAATGTCTACTTTTCACCAGCTGAACGATTTTCAGAGATAACCATTCCAACTCCGGGAGCTTATTTTCACTTTCTGCTGTTCTATTGCTGCTGTTGACGATGTTAAATCATTATGTCCTTGGGGCTCATGAGCACAATTTGTTCTTTTCCATTTGAGGATTTCATTAATCACTTAAAAAATTCCCTATCATCATTTCTGTTTAAATAATATTTAACAAACTTTAATACTATCAAGCCCCACCAGGTAAGTCCTCCCTGCTTCAATTTTCCAAGTCCTTATGGTCTTCATGTTCAAGTTATTATCTGTTTTGAACTCTGACTTTCATTTCACACCTTAAGCAAAAATACACGTTAAATATTTATGAGTATCTCCATAAACTATGGCTTAGCTTGTCTCAGTGAACAAACCAAGAGCCCTCGCCCTTTTGGCGCATACAACCAAGGAAGACCAAAGATGGACACCAATCAGATTTCCTTGACAGAGAGAGGTTTGTGCTCTGAAAACCTCATATGAGAGTCTGAGATGGGATGCAGCCACGTGAGTCAGGATGGACCGCAATTTGAATTAGGGTGGCTGCCATAAGCAAGGCCTGAAATACACAGTGAGACCCTGTGACCAAGAGTTGGAGACATAGCTCAGTGGTGAAGTGATTGCCTTGTGTACAGATTGCCTTGGTTTGCACCACAGAACCACAACCCACCAACTCTGGAAACCACAAAAGAGACTAAACAAGCCCCCAAACCAACCAACCGCAACAACTGATTTATAGAAAACTAGTAAGTGGCGTGTGCGGCGGCTGAAGGTGGGGCCAGCGATAGGTTCCTGCTCTCGGAGTCACAAGCCATTTACAAAGTCACCTTGCGGGGAGATCTCGGCTCCCCTCACTTTGCCGAGTCTGGGTGTGGGAGGCTTCCTGCAGGTTAGCGCTGAGGGCCACTTCTGGGTTCTCTTTCATCCTCACTGGTTCCTCACATTGACTCTCTTTCAAGTCCGTGTCTCCCCCCTCCCCTTCTGTAACCGGGCTCCTTCCGTCCTGGATTAAAGCTGGACACCATTTCCAAATGTTTCTCTGAAGATGTTGTTTATAAAAGAAGCACACAAGCTCACTTCATTTGTCAGAACTTAATTTGTTTGTTTGCTTAACCACGGTGGAACAGACACAGGGTTCAAAGAAAATGCTCACAGCCAGGAGTGGTGGTGCATGCCTTTAGTTCCGGCACCCCGGAAGCAGAGGCAGGCAGATCTCTGAGTTCAAGGCCAGCCTGGTCTACAGAGTGAGTTCCAGGACAGCCAGGACTACACAGAGAAACTCTGTCTCAAAACCCCAAAACCCAAAACCCAAACCAACCCTAAACCAAACCAAACCAAACCAAACCAAACCAAACCAAACCAAACCAAACCTCAACAACATCTCCCACCAAAACCAAACCAAAACAAAATAAGAACCCTAAAGCCAAACCCTTGCACTATCAAGGGGGATTTGGAGCCAAGAGGTAGCTTGATGGAGGGGCAATTGGGGCAGTCCTATCCCATTGCCTGTATTTCTTCTTGGACTGTCTCTGGCATTAGTCAAGTTCTTGCCTTGAATTCTAAGGTTCAGGACAAGTCTGGCTAATTCAGATTCTATTTGTCGGGAGCATGGAAGGTAGACTTTACGTGAGGTCCCTGACAGGACGCCCTAAGTCTTCGCGAAGCCGGCTTGGCTCTTTATTATTCTCTTCCACAGTGACTTCCTTGAGTTCTGAGGAAGGAACACACTCTGTTTCTTCCTGTCCTGGGCTGAAGCATGGAATCTCATTAGGTGTCATTGACATTCACAGAAACGCCGCTGTTCCCTGCACTTCTCCCGACCGCACAGCCCTCAGCATGGCCAAAGTGCCCAAAGGCACTGCTCAGTCTTCCTCTGGTTAGAAATCACAGCACACCAGCATCTTCCACATCCTCTGAGAGCGACTTCAGTGTGTCTCTTGCAGCAGGCCTCTTCAGGCTGGGAGCATCAGCAGAGATGGCCGTGACGGTGTCCTGGCACACCGGGGTTGCTGGCCAGACTTCCTTCCCTAAGTCCTTTACCCTCCATCCAGGGAGAAGCCTTGGAGATGACTAGAGGTTTTCCCGTGTCACAATACAATTTTTAAAAATCGTAAGAACAGCAGCCACAATTTCACCCAGGGCCATTTTTTATGTTATTGCTAAAACTTAAAAAAATGCTATCCTAATTCAGATGCCTTGGTGGCTTTAGATTGAAGGCTTTGGTAAAGTCTAGAAAATTGG